AGTATTGCTGATTTTTCCATAATTTTATAATGTAACTATTAATTGCAACTGAATGTATGTGTTATGACATTAAATTTAGAACTCGTATGTGAGAATAAAGCATCATTATTATGAGAATAAATCATTATCCACCGAATTATCTATAAATCACATATATTATAAATAATGCAACATATCGAATGTATGATATCTTTTAATGATAAATATACACTTTCCAGGATGATTAATTATACTGCGTAACAAAATTTAATTTGTTTTTATATTCCAAATATAAATAGTCATTTCCAATATATTTTTGCCTGTTAAACATGAATTCATTACTTAAATTTTATTACTTTGCATTTAAAAAAAAATGACGCCAACGATGCAAAGAACGATTATTTTAAACATTCATGATATTATATCACCGATAGCAATTTTTTTTTCATTTTTATTAATGCCATATAAAAATGTAAACTTTTAATTTTAAAATGCATTTCGCTTCGTTTAGGTATAATTTTTCGTTTTCGAGATATAATAATTTGAAAATATAGCCATATTGTATTTTATCAATTTCGTATCGCTTTTTTTGTATAATTTGATCCGATTGTGCAAATACAGTATCATATATACATATAACTATATAAGCATAATATTAATATTGTATTATATGAAAAGTATATAATATTTGTACGATATTGTATTTACATAATCGGATCAAACAATATAAAAATGCGATATGAAACGGGCAAAATACAATATGGCTATTTTCAAATTGTTATATTTTGAGAGTGAAAAATCATACAAAAAACGGAGCAATATGCACTTTAAAGCTAAAAAGTAAATTATACTTTTGCGTGGTATAAACAAGTAAAATTTGCTGCCGGTGCTAAAACGTTATAAAGTCTTAAGTAAAAATCATCGTTTTTTACTCCTTTATGGCATCAAAAGAGTAAACCATTTTTCTTAAAATTGTTATGTAACAACTACATTTGGACAATAAATTAGTATTGAGCAGACAAAAATATAATACATCGCCCGCACGCACACGCGGAAATGCTATTTTTACTCGCATTACAGAATAGTATTGAACAATGGATTCTCTCTTAACTCTTAATATTTAAACTCAGATTTTTCAAACTTACAATATTAATGTATTATAAAGACTAAAGTTAAGATACATTTTTTATTAAAATACTTATCAGCATTATAAAATTAATAAGAATTAACTATTTCGCAAGATACAATTCAGTATCAGTGTTGACCAATATAAATGCGATTAGCTTGATGTCGTCTATTTAATTGTCAATTTAGTGTAAAGTGTAATTTTTGCGAGCGACAAAAAATATGGAATCTAAGAAAAAAATTCGTAATTTTTTCTCGTTTAGCAATTTGTCATTGTATACAGTTGGATGTCTCACATTTTTCATCACAACGTATACAGGGTGTCTATAAAGTCAGTTAGCCACCCCTATATTTTGGAAACTGTTCGAAATTATGAAAAACCGCGTTCGATGATTTCGAGAGGCGATTCTTTTAAGGGAACAATTCAATGCATATACATATATTGTACATATGCGTGTAATCTATGCCTGCAGAATTGTTTCTCTTTTTCAGTCTTTTGTTCGCCCACGAGCGTGGGTGCAGAAGATCTGCGAGAGGAAGCGCGAAAGAGGGGAGAACTAGTCGAGAGCCAGTGTGAGTGGTTGGGTAGTTGCCTGAGTGATGGTAGCAAGGACGAGGGATGAAGAGGAGAAGACCGTTGGACCGGAAAGAAAAATACAGTCGCAAATCAAACAGAAAACACATTTTCGCTCTTTTTATATCTCTTTCGCGTAAATATTTGTTCTGAAAATATACGTTCGTTTCATTTCGTTTCCATCTCTAGTACCGGCCTCTCTTTCCTCATCTTTTTCAATGTGTATATGATGTCCACGTATGTGCGAATACACACATCGACACGTATCTAATGTTATATCTTGCTAAAAACTATCTTTACTTTTATTATACTTAAAGTCTTGAATATTATATAGTATATAAACTTATAGGATAGATTTGTGTAATTAAAGGTCTAAACTTTAACAAAGATTTAGATGGACAACTTGCGATATAGTACAGAAGCGGCACCATGAGTAAAACACGTCGACACTGTGACTCGCTCTCAATTTAAAGTTTCAATGAATAAAAGTGAGAATACTTTAACTCGAAATGAAATTTCAAAAGAATGAAACTGGGATGGTAAAGGAATAGAAGAAGACGAGGATGTTCTCTTTCCAGGTTTCTTCAGCTGAAAAATGTGTAATACAAGCTTGTAGTTCGCCTCTACTCTCGAAGAATATCTCGGTCTCGCCCTCGCCCCTGCAGTCCTCCCATTTCTCTAGTACTTCGTTCTTCTATGTATGTATATTCCAGTTTTATTGCTCGAATAGTTGATAAGACATATTGAAAACTACTCACAGACAATACAAAGTTGTTTTAGTGCGTGCATTTGTCTTTAGGAATATTAAATATCTAGTTAGAAAAATTTTATAACAGATTTTTGGAATTGGAATCGCGATATACGTAAACTCAGTGTTAACACTAGTGGAGCACAATCTCCCCCCCCCTCCCCCCCTCTCTCTCTCTCGCTTACACTTTTTATACTGTATATGCTTAATTAAATATTACTAGTTTTGTCCTATACATTTATCATCGTATACAGGGTGAGGCATCTAAAACAGGTTACCTAAATACTCGCTTGTTTTTAATGATACGAAAAAATGTTTCAGATGAAAGTGAAACGGTTTCGAGGAGAATGTGTTTTAATCATGTTGTTTTTCGTCTAGGTGGAAGCACCAAAAAGATATGAAGGTTAACTCCATTTTTTTTAAATGGAATTATGTGACTTTTTTATACAATATGATTTCTTTAACAATTTTGCTTATAAAAGTATGAAGATACAGATATAAAAAAAACTAATAGTTTACGAGATATTTTACATTTTATTCTGACATGTGTTGACACAAAATATTAAATATCTCATAAGACGTGAACTATTGATTTTTTTAATATCTTTGCGTGATTGGAGATTCTCGTGGAGTTACCATTCTTTTTATTCTGAGCATATATATTTTTATAGGTTTGTTTTAAATCAAAAAATTGTGTAGAGCATCGAAGTCCCGTAACTCTATACCTCTTGTCAGCTTCTTGCATTTGGATAGCAATTTATCCCCAAATGTGACATTATGTTTCTTTATCCTATTATTAAAATCATGCTGTTTTTTCCTGCATAGTTTGATGAATAAAAATACTACAGCATCAGGCCAAACAAAAAACCTTTTGAATTCAACTCATCTAAAATTTCATTAAAAAATCATAATAAATTATATTTCATTGTAAAAATTATTCTAATTGTTTTGAGACATTGATGTAAAAAATTATACTTGTTGCAGATTCCTTAGCGTTAATTTCGGTCTCTAAACATGGCAATGCATTTTTTAATCTATCAGCATTTTGCTTGTATTAATTTACAATACTTGCAAAAATTATTAATCTGAAAAATATATTTTAGTTACTTTTGAGATTATAATTACAATTATATAAGATTGTATATATTTTAATAGTTACCTTGAGCTAATAGTAGCCTTCGCAGCAGTTTCTTTATCGAGAAAGAGATGAGTGAGAACTTCATTACTCTTGTCAATGATGACTGGAAATTCGATTAAATTCCTTTTCATTATTAATGCACTGTAAATCCGAGCAAAAGGTGGCAAGTCTTTCGAATTTTTTAAAGGTGCATCAACTCTACATCAACTGCTTTACGTGTGAGCTGCTGTTAATGCATGAAAAGTGGGGAGAATCTAGAGAAATTTGTGCGCTATCAGTATTCATTGATGCGCACATTGATTAAAACGGAACGGTTCTCTATGTAATCTATGCGTATTATGCGTGCAAAGAAACGTATCCTTTATGTCGTGCGTGTTATATCCTTTAGTAAAGTGGATCAAAATGATGTTGGGTTGAGGAAAAAGATTTTTTATATATATGTGTAAAAGGACAATTATTTTACAATATCTTCGTTAAAAACAAACGAAATTTAAATTTTAAAAAAGCTGAAATCTCTACTTTCAAAATTTTTTTTTATTTTTTGAGTTTTGTGAGTTTGGTAATTTTTACAAATAAAAAACTACGAGCTCTGAAAAAGATGAAAAATTTTCTTTTCACTTTGTGGGCTTTCACATGTCTAAAAAAATTTGCGAAAACTTTTGACTACTTATCTACAAAATTGTTTTTTGAAAACGTTCCTACGATTTTTTTTGTTCCTAAGTTATTCGCGAGTTAAGTAAAGGAGCATTCTGAGTTTTATTACGCAATAAATAAAAAACAGATTCTCAAAGCTGAAACTTTGCTCTCTCAAATAATATAGTTGCAACAAATGATGGGTTGGGGAAGGGTCCTTTTACATATACTTGTATGTGCCATGATTGACAGAAAAAACTTTTTTTTTTCATCAATGTAGTTTTGAGTAGTATATAGAAGTTATTTCAATAGATTAATTCAAATTTCTGTATGTTATCTTGCTTTGTAAATACCTGATATTGCACAGATGATAGTGCATTCTGTTTCACGCATAATGCGCATAATATTTTATTATCCGTGTTTAAATTTGATGAACAAAACAAAGGTAAATAATGCATTATGAATGAAACGGAATACACTAATACATAACACGAAAAAATTGTTTAATCAATACGAAATTCTGTAGATATACAAGATAACCGATGGAAATAATGTGAAACTAAACTGATTATTATTTCGGCAAAAAATAGATCGAATGAAATAAATCTAACGCGATTTTATGGGAAAAACTTACCAATTTTATTATTATCATACATAATCATTTAAAAAAATTTGTTTAAGAAAATGCTTGTTTCAAATCTATGGTGTTAAAACTATTAGAAATGATTTACATTATTTTAACTAAAAATGTAAACAATCAAAAATTAATGAAGTGTGATCATTTCCTGTAATTAGATAAAAATTTTAGCACTTCAACATTCTTGAATATTAGGTAAAAGAGCAAATTAATTTCAAATAATTGACAGCTTGTCTATAAAGAGAGTTGAGCGCACTCCTTAAAGATAATATCGTGATCAATATCGTGAGAACAAGTAACGTATCGTCGGCATGCTTCATTTTCGTTTCACGATATACCCAGCTTTTTTTGTAACCATAACATTGAGAAACCATACCGATGATAAAGCCGGTGATAGCCAAAATATTATGAAGAAATTTGATAATCATTGGTCGTACAAACTTTCGAAGTTTCCATGCGATCCATACCGGATATCCGAAGAGAACTACTACACAGATGATAATCAATGAAGAGATGCCTGCAATACTATGGTTTGAGAGGAAGTGCACTGATTTGCTGTTATACATCACGCCTATGCCGATAAAAATCAGGATTAGCCCAGTAACTTGAAGAATCCAATGAAGATGTTTTTTGACGGGACGCGACAAAGAAGCGGTCAACATGTTGTCATTGGCGAGGACAAGAATTGCCTCCGACATCAACAGAACGTACTGGAAAGATAAGATATAATTATTTGTAAGCGATATGTGAATAAATGTTTAAATTGATTAACTACATTGTTAGAAATTCTTTAACACTATCTCATTTAATTTAAACTTCTCCAAGGACAGAGATCCAGTCATTGTTCGATAAGACGTTCGAATTCTGTACCGATCATAAAGCCTTGTGTCCATGGTGCTCGGTCTGAATTCTCGGATTGAAAAATGTGTAGCCAATCAATTTGCCATTTTTCCATAAAAACTACAAGTCTATACATTCCTGGATCCAAGAACTCAGACAGAGTTCTAGCACCGTGAACACAGGGTTAATGCAAGGGGGCAAATAAGTTCGATTGAAATCAAAATAGGTTCGACACAAAAACCAAATAGATTTAAGTTCCAGGATTTATGGGAACCAAAAGGTAAACAGTTGTGAGAATTACTGGGCAATACTATCAAATTTTTATGTAATTCCTATAACGATGGCCTAGTAATGTCCACTGAAATATAATACTACTGGAATGCACGCGGCGTTAGTTTCATGATCCGACAAAGAGAGTCTCAAGTGGTATTCTTATCCTTTTTTCATTACAATATGGTCATGGACTGTACGAGCCCCACTACTGTTTATTGCACATGCACAGTAAAATTTGAATCTATGTATTTACTGAATAAAAACAGGATACATTAAATGGATTAAGCAGTATTTTAACTAATAATAATCGGTTAATCTAGACAATAAATGAGTAGGTGTTTACGCAATTTGCACATATTTTTATTAGGAAAGCTGCTTCAATTATTGAATAAAATCCTAGATATCAAGTCTTGTGCATTTCCTAGTCAATATTGTTACAACTAATGAGAATACAATAATATAGGACAATAATTAAATAATTATCTACGAAAACTGCATATTTCTACTAGAGATATATAAAATTTTAAAATAAATAAGAAAAGAAAACGGAGAGAGTAAAAGATTAAACGTATATTACATAGGTATAGAATACTTACACCGATAGTGCAGAGGATTACATGTACATTTGTTACGGAATATTCCTTTGTTGCGTGATATACAATATATAATGTCACCAATCCAATCAATATATGATTAATCGTGTCTATTGCAGAAATAAGTATACGTTGGACGGTCCAATTCAGCTCCTTGTTCTCGGAACTTACGATTCTTTCAGTAGAATCTTCACGTGGAAACCATGATTTAGATTCCATCGATTGGAGTGATAATCCGCTGTTGTTTTTATCCATCGTTGTTCTGTAATATATATGATTTGTTACCAATATTATAGTAGTGATCAATCGAAAGATTTTGTAACGATGCAAGAGTATGCACTATTTTCAACATAACAACCGAATGCCGTCATATACAGAGAGAAACTGAAATTTTTTTTTAAAGAGAAAAAAATTAGTTATTTTTCCCTCGGCAATATTCGCAAACTGAGAAGTGACCACTTTTCTATGTTACTGCTCATAATCTGTGCACGATTAATGACACAATTAAGGGCCACGACACAGACGTTGCATAACGCATAGTGCATGGCATAAGAGAATCAACCAATCTCAAAGTTCTTCTTTTCGGTGAAGTGGATATTATGCGTAATATCGTCATAATTTCCTTTTAGCGTTAATCTTATAATTGCTAAATAAATATACAGATATAGCGCTGTAAGTAAAGATTTATAATAACTATAGCACATACACACAGATTTAATAAATATTATGGAGTACCAATCAAAACATTTATCGAAATTCGTATATTTTCTGTATCAGTCAGGAGATGCCAAAATTTATGTATCTTTTACTCGAGCTTATTGGAAATTAAACTTATATTTTTTAAATTGAAATTCGTTATGTTTTATTGCAATACTTTTCAGTATAGGGTATATCATTGCTATTTCGTATACAATTATATGATGTATTACGTACAATAATCCCAACTTAAAAGGAAATGAAAAAAAAAAAGGATAATATTACTTACGTAAGTTAATGTTAGAAACATGCGTATACAATTAACACTTTCATCATGACTACTGCAAGCAGACTGATAATTGTCTAAATAAAACTATACTGTGCAAACTTTTTCCTCGTAACATGTTAGCAACTGTAGGATTAATGTAGATGGTGAAGATTGGTCATGAGCGAAGTGCTATGAGTCAGGGTCGATGTTGAATACGTTTATCGTAAGAATGAATTCGTATTAATCGACGGAATCTTAAGTAAATGGAAAAAATACAAGATGTTCCTAGCGAGATTTCGTTGTCTGCAAGCGCTTCGAGCCTGATAAGCGCGCGATAGTTACCGTACTCACGTAACTCACGTTACATTAATAAGACGAATACGGCACATATTGGGTGTTATCATATGTCTTCTAAGACGTGTTAACACTGTTATCGAATTAATGACACCAACTTTCATACGCTTTATGAATATCCATCAGTTACAGTTGTAAATGTGACGGAAAAATGTATTAAACCAAAACTATCGAGAACATAATCAACCAAAATCACTTAAAAGCTCACCGGATACATTTATGTCCCTTGCAGATTCTGTCGCTCTTATATGCATTAACGTGTATCGTCGAAATTATGAGAATTTTCATCAAAATATCGAGATTATATCTTGAATATGTAAGTTAGACTGATATAAATAAATCATTTTTTAAGTAAGAACATTTATATTCGCGCGTTCAAAGTGGATCTTAATGCTATATATGTATATCTTGTGTGAATTTATATATATTCTGATTCTGCATATCGCGCGCCGAAATGTTTTTTCAGACTTGCATGAGCCGAACCAGAATAATATCATTTATTAAATTATATAATTTAATAATTTTTTTTTATGCTCTAATAAGCATCTTTTAACAAGAATATTAATAGCCATATGTTGATAAAATCTAAAAACTGCAAATCATTTATTGCTAAATATATTACCCAAGAATAATCGATAATTTGATGTTGAATCAACGTCAAATAAATGTGTTCATTTCTCACTGCATTACCTCGGTTAGAAATCGAACCTCGCTTGCCAGACGAGTGTCCTCACAGTTAAATTACCGAGGCAAATTGTTTGTACAATTTAAAAAGTGACATTGGTACCGTTCCCGTTTTACTCATGAATACATTTTAAATCTGAAGAAGCATTTTAACACACAATATGCAGAATTAGAATGCATATAAATTCACACAAGAAATATGTATTTAAATACTAAATTCCACTTCGAATATATGTATAGATTCTTATGTAACATTTGAATTATATCTTTGGATAAAGAGTTTATCGAATCACATATTTCATAAGACAATTTCATAAGATTCGGTAGATAATAACACATATTTTTTAAAAATGATACATTTTCACAATAAGTGTATTAAATATGAGAGCTAATTATACGAAAATTATATTAGTCGCCAATATTTCTGTATCTCTCCTTTTTGTTCAACATAGTATAATATTTAATAATTAAAATATTATTTTCTCATCATATATAAACTTCTTCTGCATTTGTTTAATTATTTTAATCTTCTTATCCTTCTTATCCCGTTTTTCGTTTTTTATTGCACGAGATGAAAGTTAACAAACTTTAAAAGAAACAGGGGAAACACATAGCAAGAAATATAATTGTCGGTAAAACGATCACAAAGTGGAAAAAAGCAAGAAGTAAAAGGCAAGAAACTGCTAGGAAACAAAGAGCACACATTAAAGAATAACCATTAGGCTTCCAATGAAACACAGTACAAATATATATGTATACGTGTATGTTAATCTTTATTACCTTTAAAAATATAATGTATGGGCGATATTTATTAACAATAAACTTTTGAATTATTTAGAAGATTATGGTATATAAAAAATACACATTTATATGTGCACACTCACATTACAACTTTAAATTTAACAATATTACAAGGTTTGAAATGGATTTACGACAGATATTAATTTATTTTATTTTACTATGTATGGATTTATAATGTACAAAAAAATTATTTTATTAATTTTTATGCACATTGTATTTAAATATTTCATTATATGTATATATATATATATATCCTAAATTTATTTATTTTACCGTTATACTTACATTATTGTTATTTTTTGCTGATACTATTACGGATTTTATTATATATATATATTAGTTATCACATTATGTAGATTTATTACGAATATTATAAATAAAAAAATGTAAAATAAAGAAGATATACCACGCAGAATCTGAATATGACAAGTTATATATATGTGAGCATTGATAAAAATCATGCACTTCAAATAAAAAACTGATGACATCACTTAAGTGGAAAAGCCGTGTGAACGGAACAATAGGATCGATATACCATCGTGCCTGCTAATTCTCACGTAGCGATAATATTTTTCGATATCGATCTCATATCGCCCATAAGATCATTATATTGATAAGGATATATATATATTATAGAATAATATTATCTCTCGTTATTACACCTATAGGCCGCGTTTACTTAACATTCGCAATACTTGCGAACATTGTTTGTCCTTGTTTAACATTTGGAAGGACCAACTTCATTGTCCAATTCACTAATATTACCGCGATTATCATTGATAACTTCGACACTTTAATATATATCCTGAGATAAACTTCCGAAAATGTCAAATGCCCGATTTTTATTAAAATTATGGCGGAAACACTCTAAATAAATGTTTGAATAAAATTATATACCTTGTTCAAACATATTTGGCATTAAACTTCTTTAAAATAAGTTATAACACGTGAAAGTCGTGCGCCTCTGAAGTAGGAAGGAGAGATGAGATGCAAGTCATTTCGCGCGGAAGTCATGAGCTCCTAAAGCAGGGGAAGCGATGGCATGGAAGTCGCTTCGCATGAAAAGTTGTGCGCCCCGAAGGAAGGTAGAGTAAGAGTCATTTTGTTTCAGTAATACCAAACAAATATATGTAGCTCATGCAAAAATATAAAGACATGCACACAATAATGGGTGAACTTTTGGAAACGTCAAACGTTCGATTGTCATAAATTTTGACAGAAATACTCCAAATGATGTTAAACAAATACTCTTAAATGGATCCTTTACCGATATAAATAAGAAGTTTAATACCAAAATGTTTGAATAAAATTGTAGAAGTTCAGGGGTGGGCGACTTCCACCCCACTTCCTCCCTCTGCCTAGGAGCACACAACTTCCACTTCTCTCCTCCTCTCTGCCTAGGCTATGTTCAGATTCCCAACAGAGTGCTCTACGAGTGTCATGTTATCCTTGTTTAACATTTGGTAAACAATAAGGATAGAAAGATACCTGAGTGGCATTGAATATGCCCCTAGAGGCACACTCCTACGCAAAGCGACTTCTACTTCACCTCCTCCCATACCTAGGGGGTGCATGAATTTCCACACGTAATGACTTATTCTAAAGAAAGTTTAATGCTAAATATATACTTGAATAAAGTATGTAACTTTATTCAAATGTTTTTGGTATTAAATTTCTTTGTTGGTGAAAATAATCAATTTAAGGGCATTTATTTAACGTCATTTGAAGTGTTTCTGCCAAAATTTATAAAAATAGGATGCTTTTGGAAGTTTATTTTTTTGTTTTATACAAATATAATTTAGATATTTGATATTTAAAAATTGCATTTGACGTAAAGTACACGTGTATATGTGTGTGTGTGTGTGTGTGCACGCACGCACGCACGCGTGCGCACGCACACACACACACACACACACACACACACACATAGTGTCCCAAAACAATTAATTAATATTTTAAAAAGTGAAAGAAAATGAAATTTTAAACTAAAAAGTTCCTTTGTTAATTTTGGCTTAAAGCACACATTATTTACCTTTAGTTCCTTCATTGAATTTTCTTTTATGCAATCAATCTAATCAAAACGCTTTCCTCCTGTAGTGGCAATTTGAATCTTGAAATCAAGACAAAGTCACACGGTGCCCACGTCTGAATACGGTGTACTTGTTGCATGTTGGTCAAAAAGTCGCGTATATATATACAAAAGACAATGTATGTCATGGCGCGTCATGATACAAAATTGACGCATTGTATGTACTTCCACAAATCTGGTCATTTGCGACGGATGACATCACGCAAACGCTTTCAAGATAATGTTCCTTATTGACCGTTTGACCTTCCCGAAGGAATTCAGAATGGATAACACCCCGATAATCCAAAAAAAAAAAACAGCATTACCTTGATTTTCGAACGATTTCACAGCCATCTTTACAATTTATACCATTCATACGCTTGT